TTTATTTAAATAAATTTAATCATAAACTTTTACCATTGATTTCAAAGCTATTTTCATTTTGAGTTAAGTAAAAAAACAAAAAAAAAAAGTCACATGGAGGCAGGGCTTAAAAGCCTGAATTTTGCCTGAAACTCTCAGACTGAAGAAGTCTCTTGGAGGAGAGACGAAACGTTTCATTAAAGAAGAACCCGTCCAGARGACCTATACAATTTTTTTTCCTTTAGCTCCATTGTGTTCAGTATACTTTGTTAGTTTCCTCGCTTTGCATTTTCCCTCATGCAGCCCCGCCCCCTGCTCATCATTACTCACCTGTGTCTCATTTGTAATCACCACAGCTGCAYTGATTTATTCATCAACTCTGCCAGCATATCTGTACAGCCTGCTCATGCTTACTCAGGTTTAGATTCTAACATTTTATTTAGTTTTTTTGTCTGCACGTTTTGCAGCACCTTTTCTTTATTAAATCTTTATTTATTATGTTCTGATCCATCTCCTAGTCTGCACTCTGTGTTCTTTATAAATCACTGCAATCACATTATGAATCCTTGTTAACGATGATACATAGATTTAATCCTTGGAGCATGTAGCATTTATGAAAATCCTTAAAATACTAATTGTGTAGATGTAATGCCTTGAAAATAAAAAGCACGTGTTAAAGGAATTTATTTAAAAATCCATGGGAAAGGTGAGCCAAGCTGACAGAACAGTCAACAAAAACAGTTATGTTCAGTCCTCTGTTGCCCTCTGTTGGGTAGTTTTAAATGAACCAGAAATCTGAAAACCTGGAGTTTCCTTTAGAACCTGATACATTTGCATAKTTCACCTTTTATTATTTAAAAACCCTGTTTTTTTTTTGTACAATTTAATCTCAAACCTGTCTCTTAAGAAGCAGGTTCCTGTTGTAGTAATTGAACCTGCGACTCACTGTTTGCTACATTGAAGCCATCTGTCTCCATCTTTTCCACAGTTGCCTTTTTCTGTCCCCTCAATGTTCAGCTTCTCATAGCAGAACTTCTCCGAGCCTCCAGACTCTGAAACAAAGAGCAGAAAGATGAATGAAACCTGAAATCCAGGTTCAGCATCCCCAAACCAATCTGTAAGTACTGAATGACTTCACATAATAGTAAACAGGCACGAGCTTTCAGCATGCAAAAACAAAAGGTTTTTACTTTTTAATGCTGGAGTTCATGAACCTCAAAGAATAAAATTTCTGCTTGTTTTTTCTTTAAACGCAGCCTTTGGCCTGAAGGAAGAGAGCGATCAGTTTATGTGCCAGGCGGGTGTTTACAGCACTTTGATGCTGCCTCCACACTTGTTAGCATAAATGTTTTTCCGAGGAAAGGCGGCTTTATTTGTGCTGCGCAAACCAGTAAATAAACAGGATGTTTCAGGCTTCAGAGACCATAAAGTGACACTATGTGTGAGGGAGTGCATATGGTTGCGTTGGCCCTTTGAGGTCTTGACAGAACCCCTCGTTTGACGGAGATAAACACCAGCTCCCCGCAACACAGAAAGGAAAAGCAGGTAAAAGAAAAACGATGGATGAATGGTTGAACGGTCACCCTGTAGAGCTGGTTTATGTCAAGTATTATATGACTGATTTATGAGAAACTCCATGATTTTAGTGCCGACAGCAGCATTTTATTGACCGGAATCTGTGCAGTGATTCTGTTAACTGAAGTTGGAGATGGGAGAGCTAACACAATAATCTATTTGTCCGGTTTGATGAAGTGTTTGGCAGCTGTCCCTGTTCAAACTTGTTGTTTTATAAAGACATACTGAAGATGGCCCACACTAACCTAAACAGCTGTTTTTATAGCACATTAAAACTCCTCGTGCATTAATAAAGCAAAGCAAAGACGTTACTCTTACTTGATCCCCAGATGTATTTACACTGGTTCTCTCTGAATTTGCACTCTCCGTTGTAACATCGACCCTAACAGTTTAAAAAACGAGAAAAAGCAGAGGATATAAATATTAGACATCTTTAAACCGCTTACTGCATGATGAAGCAAAAACATCCTTTACCCTTACCTGGTTTACCTGGCAGAAGTAACCATCTTGCTTATGTAGGTTGGGAGGACACTGGAAAGTAATAATCTTCTTTACAACCTTTTTTTTACATTTTTAAAAAGGTAAAAACAAAAAATTAAAAATAAACATATGACTTACCTGTCCAGAGTCTCCAGAGCAGGTTTCTGAGATGTCACAGTCGTTCACAGCGAAGCGGCAGCTGTAACCTCGAGGGTAGAACTGTTGAGAAACGTTTTACAGTTGTCAGAAAACGACTTGTATCATATACTTTAAAACCAAGATCATACCAGGCATGTGTGGTTGCAGCAGGGCCCGTCGCTGCAGTGTGCCCCATTGGCGAGGGAACACTTCTTGCAGCATTCTTTGTAGCAGTCCTGAAAAACAGAAAACCACGTCTTGCCTCTCTGAACCAACAGGACGACTGTGAACCGACGAAAAGAGAAACTCACCGCTCTCAGTCCGCAGTCGCACTCCTCTCCCGCCTCTACAAAGCCGTTCCCACAGTGTGCCACCTCGAACAGCTGCCGAGGGGAGACAACTCAGAGTTGAAGCCGACACGTTCGGTTTCTGACGTGCATAAAGAGCGAGGAAGAGAAGAGAACCTCTAACCTTGGTTGGCCTGTTAAACAGACACGAGCCTCCACCTTTTAGGAGGAACTCCTTGTAGTCAGAGATGCTGCATTTGGAGAACTTCTGCGGGTGTTGGACACTGCAGCAAATCATAATGAAACCAGAGCGGGCTGAGAATTACATTCATGTTTTGTTTCATTTCTTTATTGTCTATACTTTTTTATAATGTTAACCAGAAGTTCGCTGGTGTTTTTATGTGTTTATAATTACCGAAGAGTCACCAAAATCAGAAAAAAATGCATGAAATTGTTGAGGTTCAATGATCAGTTTTATCATGATACAATATATCGATTTGTTTGGAAGACAATACGATGTTTCTTGATATCACAAAGTCTGTTACGATATAATTTCCATTTAATGCAACTCACAAGTCTGCAATGAATCGAGGTATTGTTAAACCTGGAATTCACACAGTAAGAAACATTAGATGTGTTTCACAGGTTGACATGTAAAAATGAGGTTTCCATGTGTAAGGTTAATTGTTTTTTCATTCCAAATTCACTGTAGAAAACAAGTGTATTTTACATGTCAATTAAACTCACTTTGACATTTGAAAATCTGCAGTTTCCACAAATTGAGGTTTTTGTTGTCAGTCAGAAACCCTGTTTCTCTAAAAATTTGCTAATTTTCAGGAAAAAATATCCAGATTTACAATTAAATATTTAGAAATTTTGTAGCGTAATTCAAAAATGGAAGTTTGAATAATAGCAAGACCTACTTGGATATCTTTAAAAATCTTTATTCTCATCTGACCCCAGTCAGATCCAGTACTGTACACAGCACAGACCTCAGCGTAAGGCCTTGAGCCATTATCAGGAAAGCTCAAAGCACAGCAGCCCAGGCCGTTCCAGGCCGCCCTAAACAGAAACTCTGCAAAACTAAAAACACTTCTACTCAGGGTTCCTACAGTTTAAGGCAAGCTAAATTTAAGACTTTTTAAGACCTATTTAATGCCACTTTAAATTAATCTTAAGACCAATATCACAATAAACACAAATGGAAAAAAAAGTTAGCGACAATTCAACTAGCTGCGAGGCACATTCAATAAATTATTAAAAAAGATAAATAAACATTACCAATTCTATTAATATTTGAGAGGAATTACAATCATCCTACATACATTTTAAGACTTTTGAAAGATTGATTTAAGACTTTTTAAAGCTAATTAAGGGCTTATATTTGGACTGAAAAATTCAATGCCTTTTAAGACTTTTTAAGGATCCGCGGGAACCCTCTCTACTCATTTATAGGGGTGTAAGAAAATATCGATACACTGAAATATCGCGATATTTCATTTCCCGATACTGTATTGATATTCTGAAGCCCTGTATCGATTTTTTATTAAGGTTTAAAATGTCAACTTTCCTGCCAGCCATTTATTTTTGTGTTGTAGTTCAGCCTCTGACCACTAGTTGGCAGCAGTGAACCAGCCATTTGGCTCCTCTACCTCTTGAGCGCCAGAGAGTAAGAGAGCATTAGCATTGTAAGTAAACATTAGCTTCATGCTCCGATAGCTGAATCTGAGCGGAAAAGACCGACACCCTCTGCTTTCTAAGCTGAGGTAAGGTTACAAACAGTTACTTATTTGTCAGAATGTCTGTATTTTAAGCCAAATCGAGTGCCTTGTGTGCTCTTTTTTTCCAGCTGTAGTCAGCTTTCACGTTACACATATAGCGCATGCGTCTATCACCTCGAGCGAGCTCGGCACTCCCCCCGTGACATAAAACTCTGTCTGTTGCTCTCAATAGCTACGTTTACATGGACAAAAGTAATCGGATTAAACAGCCGTTTGGAATAAAAAATGCGTCATGTAAACAGCCCGTTCCAATTATTCTGATCCGATTGAGCTCGAGCCGAATTAATTTTTAATCCGAATGAAAAGGGTGGGTTATGCCGATTGATAATCGGAATGAGGTTCATTTAAACACTTAATCGGATCATCTTATTCTGATTGTAGAAAACTGACCTGTGTGCATGTCTTCTGACTTTCATTCACCCGGTGGGACAGCAGCGCTGCAGCTGCGCTGCACACTGCACAGAACTTTTCCTCCTYGCTCTCTTAACAGATGAAAAAGGAGGCAAACAGCAGACGTTGCTTCGCAAAAAATTTAAATAAAAAGCACGTATTGCTTCATCTGCAGGCTGCAGCTCAACCGAGGAGTAACGGCATCTCTACCGTTATTAAAAGCTGATACGGGTCCGTCCTGAGCGCACAGAGGAGCTTTGTTTACGTTTGAAACAGAAGTAGAGCTAAAAGTTTACAACACTGCGCATGTCCGGACTTTTATTCTGAATAAAACTCCGGTGCATGTAAACAGTTTTCATGATCAGATTGTGTCCATGTAAACAGTACATTCGGATTATTTAATCTGAATACATTTCAAACTGATTAAAAATTTTTGTGCATGTAAACATAGCTAATGTCCGGCTGATGATTGCATCAAAGTCCATGTACTTTATCCTGCTGTGTTCGCTTCAAAAACAGTTTAACTTGTTTAGCTTCTCAATTTCTTAACTGGTTTTCTTCAGGACCCGCCCTGCTGTTCGACCCACAGTTATACAAATCATGTTCTGGATGCAGGTCAGCTGATCCCAGAAACTCTGTGTGCAGCAGCTTCATATCATCTGTTTACTGAACTTTATGACAATATAAAGCCTATTGTTAAGTGTTGGGTGACCATATTGTTAATTAATATTAAAAACTAAAAGCTGCAAAAAATACATTTTCAAACTATTTATTGGCAAATTTAGTCTAATAATTGAAAACATGGATGAAATATGAAACAAATAAAATAAAGCACATACAAAGCAGAACAC